CTACCAGGTAAAGGAGGAGGAAGTCGGCAGAAGGAGCAATGTAAGCAAAGGAATAAAATGATATGATGTGTGGGGGAACTGCAATTACTCATGAGGTTCAAAGGAAGAGTATGAGTTAAGGCGTGACAAGATTTAAGGCTTGGGAGAAAGAGGTGGGGATGACAAAGGACTTTGTTTGCCATGCAAAGGAGTTTTTATTCCCAAGGTTAGGCAGTAGCACTAAAGCATTATATGTGGCAGGGACAGGATAAGATGCCACCTGTAAAACTCAGCACTGTGAAAACCGGATTGGAGGAAAATAAAATTAGAGGTGGGGAGACTGATTTGGAGAGATTACAGTGATCTAGGCAGAAGCTAAGGGGGCCTCAACAAAGACAGTGGCAGTAATAATGGACAAGTAGATAGGGGTAGGACCCACAAAACCTGGAGGTTGACTAAGGATCTACACAGATGATGGTGCTACGTATTATGATGGAAAAAGGACAGGCTGCCCCTGCCCCCAGAAGTGGGGTTTGCTTGGGGAAGGGGAAAAGACAGAGTTGAGTCTGAGTTTTAGACATGTTGTGTGTGATGTACCTGTAGTAGATCCAAGGGTGGATGTCCGGTAGGCAGGTAACTTTGAGGTCTGGCCCTCTGGAAAGTGGCTGGGGCTAGAGATACACGTTTGAAAAATGTTTTAGCTTTCTATTGCTGCTGTACTAAATTACCACAAACTCAGTGACATAAGGCAGCACAAATTTAGACTTACAGTTCTGGAGGTCGTAAGTACAAAATGGGTCTGACCTGGGCTAAAATCAAGGTGTTGGAGCAGGCTGGCTCCTTCTGGAGGCTGTAGGGGAGAATCCTTTTCCAGATCCTGCAGGCTGCTCACATTCCTTGGCTCACGACTCTGCACAGCATCGCAGTACCTTTTCTCCCTCTGCATCCATCATCACGTGGCTTTCTTCTAATTCTGACTCTTCCTCTCCTCTCATGAGAAGGACCCCTAGGATTACATTGGGTCCACTTGGATCAAGATAATCTCCCATTTCATGATCCTTAACTCGATCCCCTCTGCAAACTCCTTTTTGCCATACAAAGTAACATTTGGAGGTTCCAGGGATTAAGACATGACCATCCTTGAGGGGGTAGGGGAAGGGGGGTAGGGGCATTATTCAGCCTTACCACAGAAGTTATGAGCATTTAAAGAGCCACGAAAAAGGGTGAAATTATTGTGCACAAGTGGGAATCATGGGAATACTGTCAGAGAAGCCAAGGAAAGAACATTTCTCGGGTGGGGGAGAAATATACGGTGAAATGCTGCCAAGAAGTTAGCTAGGAACAGAACTGAAAACTGTCTACTACTTTAGCAGCTAGGCTGTCGTAAGCACAATGTCAGCGAAGTGCTGGGGGGGTAGAAGACAAACCGGAGTAGGTTAAGGAATAAATGGAAAAAGAAAAAGTGAGGATAGTAACTATAGGCACCTCTTTGAAAACAGATGCCTTTAAGCATAACAGAAAGAAGAGAAAAAAAGAACAGTAGGTGAGAAAGGGCCACAAGCCACAGGGTAGGAGGGTTGAGGATGCTCAGAGGCTGAAGGAAAGGGCTAAGAAAGGATAAGGGTATGAAGGTACAAGAGAAAGAGCTGTGAGTTCCCCGAAAAGCAGGATAGTAGTGGGAGGATGAATTCAGAGAAGGGGCAGAGAGAAGAGCCTGGGGTAAGAATGCCTCTGAGACCAAGAGAGGAGGTGAGGATGAAGGTGGCCTGTAGGTTAGGGAGGGAGAGGAGGCTAACGTGTTTCATGACTGATGCTTTCCTCTGGAAGGAGGGAGGTGAAAGATCAGTCCGTGAAGAGGGACAGGGAAGAGGTAGGAAGCTTGAGAAGAACAGTGAAGGTCTGAAATGGCTGTGGGATGAATGGGAAAGGCTGAGACTGCGAACATGTGCAAACAAAGTAGGAGAGTATCGACAATGCTGGTGCCATCAAATTGGTTCTTTCCGTCTGGGCGTGGTGGCTCGTGCCTGTAATCCCAGTACTTTGGGAGGCCGAGGTGAGAGCATCACTTGAGCCCAGGAGTTGGAGATCAGGCTGGGCAACATAGTGAAACCCTGTCTCTACAAAAAAAAAAAAAAAAAAAAAAAAAAAAATTAGCTGAGTTAGGTAGTGCCTGTAGTCCCAGCTACTCAGGAGGCTGAGGTGGGAAGATCACTTGAACCTGGGAAGTAGAGGCCACAGTGAGCCATGATCACACCACTGCACTCCAGCCTGGGTAACAGAGTAGACCTTGTCTCAAAAACACCACAAGGCTGGGCATGGTGGCTCACGCCTGTAATCCCAGCACTTTGGGAGACCAAGACGGGCCGATCACCTGAGGTCAGGAGTTCAAGACCAGCCTAGCCAACATGGCAAAACCCCATCTCTACTAAAAATACAAAATTAGCTGGGCATGGTGGTGTGTGCCTATAATCCCAGCTACTTGGGAGGCTGAGGCAAGAGAATTGCTTGAACCTGGGAGGCAGAGGTTGCAGTGAGTCGGGATTGTGCCACTACACTCCAGCCTGGGCAACAGAGTGGTGCTCCATCTAATTAAAAAAAAAAAAAAAAAAAAAAGCACCACAAAAGAAATTATTTTCAAGTGAAAACACAACAACAGAAACTAAATTTGCAAGGTCTAAGAAAGGAGGGGTGATCAATTTAAAGCTACAGGTTCTACAACAGAATAACCTCAGTGTATGCTGAGCTACGTATGATGAACAGGAACAGGGGAGCTGGCTATTTTTCTAGATCTTTAAACAATTCTGGGTCAGATATAAAGTTTGCTAAAATATCTTAAGTCTGCCATGGTTTGAGTCATATACCTATCAAATTAGCAGAAACATTTTAAATTTTATTTATTTATTTATTTATTTTTGTGAAACAGGTCTCACTCCACTGTGTAGGCTGGAGTGCAATGGCCCGATCCCAGCTCATGGCAACCTCCACCTCCCAAGTCCAAGCAATTCTTCCACCTCAGCCTCCTGAGCAGCCGGGACCACAGGTGTGTCCTGCCATGCTTGGCTAATTTTTGTATTTTGTAATTTTGTAGTAGAGATCGGTGTCTCACCATGCTGGCCAGGTTAGTTTTGAATTCCCGACCTCAAGTGATCCACCCACCCCAGCCTCCCAAAGTGCTGGGACCACAGGCGTGAGCCACTGCGTCTGGTCCAAATTTGCAGAAACATTTTTAAAATGTGCAGTCCATTTCAGAGAGCCATTAGCATTTTCATTTTCATTACGTAGTTTTTATTTTAGACGAACATTATTATAAAAAAAAAGTTCACCTGGAATAAAATCCATTTAAAAAAAACACAGCATCAGTATCAGTACACAGTTAATGAACTGGCTTAAACAAGATTAACCACATGACAGGTCCACTTATCTGCAGGAGCTTTTCACATTAAGCCATTGGAGTAAAAATAAAATATGTTTAAACATGTACAGTAGGATAATTATATGGAAAAACTAGAGAGTTTCCATTAGGGGCATGATTTTCATCAAACAGTTTATGGTATTTTGCATGAAAGGAACTGCAGTGTCAGCTGCAAACAAAATAAAACCCATCTGTAAGGTCATAAAATTGAACTATAATAACTAAATTCACATTTTAAGAAAAGGTAAGAAAGTGAAATAAGTTCTATTAGTTTCTTGGCACAAGAAATGCAATTGCATATGGCACACGCATTTCAAGAAATGAAGTAAAATCTGAAAATATCCCTAGAATAATTGTTTGCTAAGTTTTATTTCTGTACATTTCATTTAGATTTTTTTCAGAGTGAACATGATAGTCATTAATTTTATTAGTCTAAAAAAATGACTGATTCTACTCTAAAGTCGTGCTAGAATTTGAAATTCTTTTAGCATATCCTGTCCGTCTGGGTCCCTCTGTATCAAGGGATTTCATTTTTAGACATTCCTTTCCAACCACTCCTGTGCGCCCTTTGGATGTAACAAGGAAAAAAGAATGTCTCTTCTGTTTAAAAAAAAAAAAAAAAAAATCTAAGAAACCTGATTGCAGAAATGAGTGCTTAAAATTTACGATAAGTAAACCAACATAATGAAATGTGGTTTTCAAATCTTCAGCTTAGAAGCTCATCTTTAAAGACTGAGAACTACATTTGTAAAGGAATCTAAGTCATGAACTTGAAAAGAATGTCTGCTTAAATGTATCACTTACTGATCACAGGAAAAACTTTATAAGCCTTAATATAGACTCTCAGCATTCAGAACCTGTAAAATGGAGTTATAATCTCTTACTTAGAAACTTCTGCAAAAACGCACCTATATTGCACAGCTAAATTTATTAATGGAGACAGGGAGATAATACTTTTTTTATGCTACTAGATATGACATGTATGCTCTATTCTAAACTAATATTTCCTACCTTTCCCAATGATGTCTTCAGTTCAAAACAAAACATAGAGTCTAAATTTTGTTAGATGCTTAAAAGCTGGCTCACTGTTTTTCTACCAGGTATTAGAATACTAGTTAGCTAAATGAGGTATAATTAAAAAATAGTCCTTCAAAGTAAAGAGTATAGTCTTCTGAAAATTTATAACAAAGACTGCACAAAATGTTTATGTAAATAGTAAGAAACCCTGCAGCACCCACTAACTGATGCACAGGTAGATTATTGTGTCATAGTCTGTCCAAGTAAAATATAGCTAAAATAAGTTCCCAGTGAAACATTTTACAATCAACTGATTTACATGCTACTTAGTTACAGCACATTTTCACTGTCTGACAGGCTCAGACTCTATTTGAAAAGGTCTAGTCCAATCATTGTCAAAAATTTACACATGATAATAGAGTGCAGCCACGGAACCACTAATACTGCTGCAAAACTCTTCATGTACCTTATCTGTAAGACCGCAAAAATGTCCACAAAAAACTAGATTTCTTCCGTTTCAGCAGGGAACAGACAATTATCTGTCATTGAATTCATCTACAAATAGAAAAAATAATGCACTGTATGTACATTATTAAGCAAAGTGGAATATTTATTGGGTCATTTTATCATGCAGAAAGTGAATTACCTAAGGTCTTAGCTCAATGTATATACAATTTAGCAAAGCTAAATGTAAGAAAATAGCAAGGACAATTTATTTCTATATAACAGAGCATATACTCCCAGTTTGCTGCTACTTCAAAGAGCACTTTTAGACTCATCTAACTTTCACAGGCTCTTTCAAGTGAAGTTCATGGAGACTAGTTATTCCACATAAGACAAAAGAAGAAAGAAGAAATAGAACCAAAGCAAAGCATTCTGTTAAAAAAAAAAGTAATAAAAGCTAACCACAGAATATGTCAGTTTTGGTTTGCAGACAACCCCTGAGATTATATAAACCAAAGCATTAAGACACCAAATAGTCAGAGGTAAATTACTAAGAGAATTACATTCATACATGGTGTCATAGCACTTATCTTTTAGAAGGTACTTTGTTACCATCCAGAAAGCTTAACTGCTTGGATTTTTTTCAGGAAATAGTCAATATAAGATGTTTCTAAAAAATTATTTTTTTCCTTTTGAAAATGTATCTAATTTGAAGATAGTAGAATTACAATAAACTTTCAATCACGGAACTACTAATTATACTAGAAAAGCAATGAATGACTTTTAAGCCTATAGGTAATTACAAAAAAAAATTACGGAGGCTGAAATTTGTCAACAATAAGTTTAGTGTATCAAAAATAGCTTGGGCATATTTGCAGCTGCTAAATTGTTCCTTTATTTTCAAGTAAGTACGAAAGATCGACTGGTCCAAGCATTCTAAAGACATATCTTAATTTGAAGAGAATTCTCTGTGGTAACAAGCAATCCCTTTCCACTGCCATCTCCTGTTCTTAACTATCCAGCATGATAGTAGCCTTTGTGAAGCAAAACAGGCATACCAGGAAGAATAATTATTAACAGAATTCATTTCCCTCATCCCCTCGGTATTATCCCCCCTCTGCGTTATGACACTGAAGGCTAGAGTAACAGCAATGACATAGTGATCTGAATTTGGCACATAAGTTAACACTAAATACCTTATGATGGTTTTATCTACACAAGTATACCAGTACCAGTGTTTACTGAGAAAGGCAACTAAGCTTTTGGTCGGCTTTAGCCCAGATGACTAGACTAAGTTCTATAACAATGAACCAAAACAGATGGAACTGGGTTCTACACATTCAACAACAGCTGTTTGAAAACTGAAACCTTGGTCCTGTTTTCTCTAATGAAAAGGCAAGACTTTTCCTAGAGGCTACACTAGATCTAAGTACTTTTATTTCTAAAAATACCTCCCAAATAAAACCAACCAAAAGTCATTATTTTCACCATCACCAAGAGCTAGCTCTATTAAATTTATATCAACAAGTTAATCTGTCTTTATATAGGTAAGCTTTCCACAAACTAAAATCTAAACCTAACTTTTGTAGACAGGGATTATGGCAGGAATTTGGTATTACAACTAAACCAGCCAGCTAAGGAGTGAGCCTAAGAAAAAATCTATTACATATCCTTATTGACAGAATCACAGTTAGACGCTGGACTAAAACCCTAAATGGTCTATCTCTCAGCCCACGTAAAATTTCAGCTCAACAAGTTCACAAATAGAAACAGATAATAATGTTCGAATGTGTTATTAGTTTTAGGTAACTGAGTGATTACAGTAAGTCAAACATGGAAAAGAATAGCAAATACAAACCCCAGGGAAAAATGAGATTATGGTGATTTCCAAATGCAGTTTCTATAGATTAGGCAGAGGTAATCATTTTAAAAAGTGATTCATTCAGCTACCCAGACTCTGGCAAACAGGTCAGGAAGGAGCAAAGCTCTTAACAATCTGAAGAAATAAAGAAATTGTGGCCTTTGATGACTAGATGGGCATTTCAGTAAAATTTTTTAATGACTTTAATGATTCTTATTTAAGAAAAAGCCCTTAAATAAATGCTACCAAGGCAGTAATATTTGACCATATGAACCAGACCAAATACCCTTTTAGTATATTAACCTCTGCCGTAAATGCTCTGCTTTTAACATTGCCACACGTACAATTTTGTCTAGAACTTCATGACACAAAAGTGTGCAAACATGAGTCTAAGATTGTGCTGAAATAGGGAAAGGCTAACACTGATGTGCAAAGTAAAAAAGAAAGATAACTTCTGCAACAGGTACTAAAACAAGGAAAAAACGAGTTAGGTCCTGCATGTGTCTCCACTTCATTGCTTCCATGTTTGAAAAAAGCAGCCTGTTCTTTTGCTAGGCCATGAGGCTGGAATCCACTTGGCATTCTGTGTTGAGAGGTCTAAGTTCAGTGGTGCTCTCAGCAGCAGCCGGGAGGTGTGATTCTGAGGCTGGGTGACCTGTGCTTTCAGAGAAGCAGGAAAGGGCCCTCTAGGTGTGCTGCAGTCTCTCAGAAAGAGTTCATCAAAGTAGTGAGCAACGAAAGAAACTGGTCTTCTTTGATCGGTTTTCTGTTATTTTCACTGGTCCACCTGCTCCTGCTGAATTGCTGTCATTCTAAAAAATAGAAGATAAAGTTACCAAGGAAATAAAAGTTTCATGGTTTGACCTCAGTTACCTAAAAAATAAAAATAACTAACCACACCATGTGAAATGTGTATTCTAGTGACATGTGTATTCACTAGAGTATTTTATTAGAACGGGAACTAGTTAAGCACCAATGTTGTCTTTTTATTTGGAAATGGTGAATTAAAAGGAGGAAAATGCCCTTACAACAGCAGCTTTTATATCAATAATGTATTAGATAGGAAGCTTCTATTTCCAGTTCCAATAGAGTGCAAAGTTTCAAAGGTAATGATGGAAACAATGTTAAGATACTGGCACAGGCAATTCTGTTAGAGGTAAGAAGTGCTAGTAGTATAAGGTATGCAATTATACTCAGGACTCAGCATAAAACAAACTTTCAAGGTTGTCTTAATGATTTCAAATTTAAGCACACTTTAGCAACTTCAAAATCATAGCTACATAGATATAAATATCTGTCACATGAAAACTGAACTGGATAATTTTATGGCAAAAATCGAATTTGTGCCATTACTATTTTTATTATTCTGGTCAAAATTCAATTTCAAGATCACTTAAACAGCCAGATGAAAGATATGAAACAGCTGCAGTTCAGAAATAAGAATCCTAAACAAATAGAACTAAGAATCAGAGTTCAACCAAATGAGTATCTGAGTCAGGGAAAAAAATGAGTTTAATGTGAATATCTTATAATTAGACCTATCCTTTTCATCAAATGCCAAATAGAGAGCATAATGGAAATAAAAATTATAAGTGATACAAACCATTTTTCTGTTGAGTTTTGTCATTATATCTCGTGCAAGTGTAAAAAATGCCTATAGGTAAAACAAAACATTTTCATTATTATATATTCACTATATATATATATATTCCCTCCACCTCAGAGATGGGGTCTTGCTATGTTGCCCTGGCTGGATTGTAACTCCTGGGCTCAAGCCATCCTCCCACCTTAGTCTCTCCTGAGTAGCTAGGACTGCAGGTGTGAGCCACGATGCCTGACTTATTTTAAAACAGAAATACAGAATTTTTCATTATTTCACTATAAATATACCACTTTAAAGTTTTAACATTAAGAAAGTAACAATTGCAATCATAGTATGCATGTGTTTACTCTTTTGAGATTGTATCATAAACATTTTCTAATGTTATCAAACTATCATTCATTCATCAAACATTTTCTTCATGTGACATAATATCTCTCACAATAACACCCTTGTTGAATCACGAGTAACTTCCTCAGTACACCAAAAACAGGACAGAAGCTCTGTCTAAGCTACCTAACTTCCCTAGAGCAGGGCACAGTGCTGATCTAGGAAATGCTAAATATCTAGTTTAATGAGTGAATCATTATGTATTACCCTATAGCTCTAAAATATGTCTTCACAAAAAACTCTACTTTTTATTTCTGACCTTTTCTTTCAAATTGCTCTGTTATAGCTGAATATGTATAATTTTCCGTGTCTTAACACTTCAAAATCCCAACAGTTGCTGGAGCTCTCGGCTAAACTCCCCACTGTGGAAGTCAGTTCAAATAGAAGCAGGGCAAATCTGATTAATCTTAGTGATTAATTTATCCATAATGTCTCTTGATACAAACCAAGCATTTTTTAAACCCATCATCTTTTTTTCTATGAAGCCAAGAACTATTAAAGATTCTCCATTTGTCCCCATGCTAAACCCACTGTTAAATCAGCCTCTGTTCCCAACACTCCTGATCCCCAAAAACTGTTCACGACAAGGATTATTTCCAATCTAATCAAATAAATATGACAACTACTATTATTACTCATTGTCAGTGTCTCACTGTCAAACTCGTCACCTATGAGTCTAACCACACTGATTTAAAGCTCTGGTAAAATTTGTTACCATCTGTATGCCTGGCTAGAATAAGCAGCTCAGGCAACTCCCAGTTCAGGGAGCTCTATCCATACTGTTGCAAATTATAGGATTTCATTCCTTTTTATTGCTGAATAGTATTCCATTGCATATACATACCACATTGTTATTTATTTATTTATTTTTAGACGGAGTCTCGCTCTGTTGCCCAGGCTAGGTGCAGTGGCACAATCTCCGCTCATGGCAAGCTCCGCCTCCCGGGTTCACCCCATTCTCCTGCCTCAGCCTCCCGAGTAGCTTGGATTACAGGTGCCCACCACCATGCCTGGCTAATTTTTTGTATTTTTAGTAGAGATGGGGTTTCACCGTGTTAGCCAGGATGGTCTCGATCTCCCGACCTCGTGATCTGCCCACCTTGGCCTCCCAAGGTGCTGGGATTAAAGGCGTGAGCCACCGCGCCTGGCCCATACCACATTTTCTTTATCCGTTCATCCACTGATGGACACTTAGGTTGATATACTGATTTCTGTCTTTTGGGTAAATATCCAGTAGTGAGACTGCTGGATCATATGGCAGTTCTATTTTTAGTTTTTTGATTGTTCTCCATAGTGGCTGTACTAATTTACATTCCTACCCACAATATATGAGGGTTCCCCTTTCTCTACATCCTTTCCAGCATTTGTTATTGCCTATCTCTTTGATAAAAGCCATTTTAATTGGGGTGAGATGATAGCTCACTGTAGTTTTGATATGCATTGCCCCAGTGACTAGTGATGTCGCCATTTTTTCATATACCTGTTGGCCATTTGTTTGTCCTCTTTTGAGAAATGTCTATTCAGATCTTTTGCCCAGTTTTAACTTGGATTATTTCTGATGGCGGGAAATTCTTTTGTAGCAAGCAGAGGGAAGCATTTTTCTGCTTATCTAAGCTTGTGTAAATAAATCAGTAGAGGCTTCCTGTTTCCTAACACCTATCGGCCAACCTAAACAAATAACTGTTATATTATTTAAAACAAAGAAAAAGTTCTGATCAGTGTCCACTGGCTAATAAAGTCATGTAGGTCTTGATTTTTAACCATCATGTTATGATGAACAATGAGTAACCTAGGAAATTAAATGTTTATGAGACTA